TGAAATTAATTGGACAATTTACATATCTTCAAGTCAGCAGAGCCAGATGAAATACATCCTACAATATTTAAGGAACTGACTGAAGAAATCTCTGAGCCATTAGCAATTATCTTTGTGAACTTACGAAGGACAGAAGAAATCAGAGAAGTGCAAATATAGTACAGATTGAATTTCTGTAGTCCGGCACCATCAGGACCTAATCAGTGAATTACAGGAGGTCAATGCTGTCTAGCATCATTTCCAACACTTCTGCTGCTCACTGGGCTCTTATAAGACATTTGGGGTAAATTAGAGCTAAATAACAGCACAGAACACTGAGAGCCAGGACTGGTGGCTATAAAAAACTTGATGGGAACATGGGAAACTTGGCCACACCCAGGATAAGTGGACATCCAGCTAACTAAAATCATGCCGGTCCATGGTTGTTGCCAGATCAGAGAGTGACGGACTTAGAGAAGTTCAACCTGTAGCTGTCTATAAATAGGGGACTAAGGACAAACCAGAGCTTTATGGACCAATATCTTAACTTCAGTACCCAGAAAGATAATAGTGCAAATAATCAGACAATCAGTTTGTAATTCCCTAGAAGATAATAAGGTGATAAGTAATAGTCAACATGGATTTGTCAAGAACAAATAATGTCAAACCTACTTGATATTTGTCTTTGCTAGAGTAACAAGCCTTGTGGATAAAGGGAAGCAGTAGATCAGCTATCTTGACTTTAGTAAGTCTTTTGATGTTGTCTCATAGGGATATATAGCTTAGGTGAGCCTGCTATATGGTGGATGCACAACTGGTTGGAAAACAATATTCTGTACATCGAGAATAGTTATCGGTGGTTCACAGTCAAGCAGGAAGGGCATTTCAAGTGGTGTTTCGCAGGGATCTCTCCAGAGTCCAGTTCTATTGAATAGCTTCATAAGTGATTTGCATAATGGCATAGAGAATACATTTACAAGCTTTGTGGATGATACCAAGCTGGAAGTGGTTGCAAGGTCAGGATTAGAAATCAAAATGATCTTAATAAACTGAAAAAAATGGTCTGAAGTAAAAATAAAATCATTAAGAACAAATGCAAAGAACTCCACCTACAAAACAGGAAATGATTTGTCTAGGAAAGAGTATTGCAGAGGGGGACCTGGCTGTCATAATGAACCACAAATGAAATATGAGTCGACAGTGTAACACCCTTGCAAAAAAGGCAAATGTTCTGGGACATTTTGGCAGGTCTCAAGAAATCAGTCTTCTGCTCTACTCCATGCTGATAAAGCCTCAGCTGGAATAATGTGTCCAGTGCTGGGCACCGCACTTCAGGAAAAATATGAATGGGAGAAAATCCAAAGGAGAGCAACAAAAATGAAGAAAGATCTAGAAAATATGGCCTATGAGGGGAGATGGAAAGAATTTGGATTGTTTAGTCTGGAGCTGAGAAGATGAAGGGGCAGGGCATGAAAATAGACCTCAAATACAGAAAAAGAGAAGGGTGATCAATTGTTCTCTTTAACCACCGACAGCAGGCCAAGGAGCAGCGGGCTCAAATTGCAGCAATGGAGGTTTAGGTGGGTCATTAGGGAAAAACTTCCTCTTAAGATGGTTAAGCACTGGAATAAATTAACTCGGGAGGGTGTGGAACATTCTTCACTGGAGATGTGTAAGAGCAGGTTAGACAAACACCTGTCAAGAATGGTCTAGATAATACTTAGTCCTGCATCAGTCCAAGAAACTGGACTACCTAACATATTGAGGTCCCTTCCAGTCCTATATCCCTGTGCTTTCTAGTGGCCTAGGTGTGCATGTGGTAGAAGGAGTCTTCCTCCTTGAGTACTGAGTTCCAGTCTGTTTTCACTGATAAAAGGAAGAATTCACTTTTTCAAAGCCTAATCCTGCAAGGTACTGAGCATTCTTTGCTCCCACTGAAGTCTATGGGAACTGAGGATGGTCAAAACCTCCTGAGGAGTTCTTGAGTAGCCAAATAGTTGAACTCATGGTCTAAGGGCTTAGGCTGGTGGCAGAATTCTCCTTGAATTAGAAAGGGAACCCAAATACTATTGAGATTGAGAGTGCCTTCTCTAACACTGCAGAAGGCTGTATTGCCAGCCAATGTCCTTGACTTGATTTTGAAGCTGAGCAATTTCATCAAGCTGGGTAAGAACCATTCCTCTTCAGATGCATGAAAGACAGGAGTCCAACCTTCTCCCCAGGACAGGGAACTTAGCTCATTTAAGCATCATGACTGGTCACTGGGGCAGCTCCTGCTCTGACTCTGCCATCCTGAGTTGAGAAGAAGGAAGATTGTAGCTCTAGTCTCGAAGGCCTTTACTGAGATGCCCTTAACACCCTCACTGCAGTATGTGTCAAGATGGGATTGCTCTTCCAACCAACCTGCAGAGAGGAGCATTTCCCCATTATCTAAGTACCTATTTTATGAGCAGCCAAACTTATTAACACCATTGGATGTGACTGTGCCAGTAGAGAGGGGGCCTGAATAGTCTAGCATGAGGGCATAAATCAGGACCTTTAACGAGCATCTGCACATTTAAAGTTTTTCCTACATGGCTTTTGTTTTTCTTGCACACTTCTCGCTTTGACTGGTCTATAAATGGGTTTTTCTCCTCCCTGTCTTCAGCCAATAAGACCTCCCCAACATCTGGAGAGGGGAATCGCCCTGGTGGAATCATTCATGTGTATGGTGATGACAACAGTGACAAATCTGCCAGCAGTTTCATCCCCTACTGCTCCATGGCTCAGGCACAGCTCTGTTTTCATGGCCACCGTGATGCAGTCAAGTTCTTTGTCTCTGTTCCTGGTAAGGATGGCCAGGGTACCTCCTCATGAGGATTCTGGCATTTACATTCTTTTGATCTTCTTATGCCCTAAGACATCTGTAGGCTCTACCATTGCAGGGAGAGGTCTGAGCTGCCCTATTGTAGAAGGCGGTAGATGACACTGCATCTTCTGCAGCTCTTTATGAATTACCTACCTTTTTAAGGTCCTTTGGGTTTTTTGTGTCCGCATTAGAATAAAATCCAGATTCCCAACAGCTGGGACAGAATTGGCAGGGTGAGCACCCTCATGTGTGTCCTTTAGCTGAGCATTCTGGGAGCATGGTGGAGTTGCTTACAGGAGCACCTGTGCTCTTTCAGGTAATGTTCTTGCAACTCTGAATGGGAGTGTGTTGGACAGCCCCTCAGAGAACCCCAGCACAACAGCCCCTGAGACTGAGGGGCAGAAGCTGAAAAATGTCCTGGTGCTGAGTGGAGGAGAAGGGTACATCGATTTCCGGATTGGTGAGTTCCTACTGTTCCCCTTTGGGGAAGAGGTGAAGTGGAAAGTGTTGCAGGTAAAACGGGCCAATGGGATTAAAGAGAAAACTGTTGCTACATAGCAAGTTCAGTTTCCACTTGTCATGTCTCCTGGTATAGAGGAAGCCATTGGGCATTTTACTCTGTTAGCCACCCTTTTCCAGGAGATATGGTTGCCTAACCCCATCTGTCACAGTTGACTGTCTCTAACCCATGTTGTTATAAGGATGGGCTCCTGTAGGGGATGAGGGAGTGGACAGTGCATGTGATTAGGGATATTGGAAGGTTATGTTTTGTGTCTCTATGACTCTCTCTTAACCAGTCTTGCTATATATGTGTCCCATTGTTACAGCTTCCCATCTAGGCATGAAAGAAGACCACAGCTAATGCTGCCCAGGTTCCTTGTTAAGTCTTTTGTGAGGGGTAGTAATGCTTTGGATCTCCCTTTTCTCTCCTCTTTATTGTATGTATGCTATCTGCAGGGGATGGAGAAGATGATGAGACAGAGGAGAATGCAGAAGATACCCCCCAAGTAAAACCGGTGCTTTCCAAGGCGGAGAGGAGCCATATTATTGTGTGGCAAGTATCATATATCCCTGAGTGAGAATCTCTCCTTTCCAGCCAACATATCTCTCCCATCTCCCACCTGAATGCCAAGATGTACATACAGAACTCCTGCATTACACCTACTGCTGGAAATGGAACCCCAGACAATTGCAACAGCTCCTGCATTGGATGGTGACCCCCCCCTCCCATTCTAACCTCTGAACTTGCAGCTTTCATAATTGGGCCTGTGCACGTTGAGTGGTTGGATTACTATTCTCCTGCAGCTGGTATCTACAAAGGGGAAAAAAAGGCAGGGAATCTACAGGGTGAAGCCTAGAGTTAGGAATTGTCCAAACACCTCTTGCCAAGAAGTGAGAATCAAGCCTTTCTTGGAAGGGTTGGCCCAGGTTGTCAGGAAGGTTGCCTCATTCTCACCTGCATGAGAAACAATGCATTAACCTCGTATCTTCCAGGGAAACGAGGCTAATGACTCGTGACAGCCCAAAGAAAATCTTACATGTAGTTCACCAGATGGAAATCTCATCCCAGCCTGTCTGCACAGATTGTCCTCAAGCACCAAGTCTTATCTCAGGATCTGAGCACAGGCAGCACCAGGTTTAAACCATACCTCTGCAGAGAAGGGAACAAAGGTTTCAGGAACCACTTCAGCTATTTGGCCATAGAGGGCCCACCAGTCTCATGCTGGGGTAGAGTGCAGAACACATGCTATATATGGGAAATCTCCCTCCTCTGCTTCTAATTGTTGATCAGTTGGTAACATGAAGTAGTGCTCAGTGAGTGTGACATCACGGAGGACTTTTTGGTAGAATCAGAGGCAAAAAAGGTGTTTGATGTCACGACAGTGTGCGCTTGGACATGACAGTTTGCTGGGATATGGGTTGGTTAGCCGAAGGAAGAGCCAGCGCTACTTTGTCCACATGGTATTTTTGAAATGAGGGGTAAAAAATACTTGGTTTCATCATTTTTAAAAGCCTTAAAAAATTTCAAGAGACAAGCTGTTTAGTGATAGTTGGTTTTAAAGTGTATCTGGTGAAGGCAAGTTCAACATCCTTCCATGTTGATGTGATAAGGCTTCTGTGTTAACCTAGGGGTTTTAATGACTCATGAAGATGCATTCTCTTCCTAGTGCTGATTTTCTTCAGGGAGAATGCTCTGCTCTCAAAGCAGAACAGTGCTGGAGAAAAGAAAAGGCAGGATACTGATTTTTGTCATTCTTTCTCCCAGTACATAACAGTAACCCAGTGCAAATACAGGTTCAGGCTTGCATATCCCAAACTATGGCACCCAGACAGGAGGATGCTTTGCTATGGCAAGAATTGTGTTTCATGGCTGCTCCTGCAGTTAAATAAGTCTGTAAAAAGCTGGAGAGAGATTCCAGGAGCTTGTAGCTCCATGCAGTGTGCATATCTCAAGTTTTGTTACCTCACTCCTGCTACTGACCAACTGGTTAAAAGCCCTGATGCCACAGTTTGCCTCCTGACTCCTCACTGTTCTCAGTTCTTGGCCTTTTAAATCCTTGAGCATGTGTGTATTGCCTCACTTGCTGCATTTCTGGCTCAGTCAGTCTTTGTATTCTAGGATCCCAGAGGACCTAGTGTGTCCCTAAAAACAAGTAGCCCCGTGGCACCTTAGAAACCCACAAAAATATATAATATGAGCTTTCGTGGGCAAAACCCACTTCTTCAGATGAGATATCTTCAGACTACTTGATATTTGTCTTTGCTAGAGTAACAAGCCTTGTGGATAAAGGGAAGCAGTAGATCAGCTATCTTGACTTTAGTAAGTCTTTTGATGTTGTCTCATAGGGATATATAGCTTAGGTGAGCCTGCTATATGGTGGATGCACAACTGGTTGGAAAACAATATTCTGTACATCGAGAATAGTTATCGGTGGTTCACAGTCAAGCAGGAAGGGCATTTCAAGTGGTGTTTCGCAGGGATCTCTCCAGAGTCCAGTTCTATTGAATAGCTTCATAAGTGATTTGCATAATGGCATAGAGAATACATTTACAAGCTTTGTGGATGATACCAAGCTGGAAGTGGTTGCAAGGTCAGGATTAGAAATCAAAATGATCTTAATAAACTGAAAAAAATGGTCTGAAGTAAAAATAAAATCATTAAGAACAAATGCAAAGAACTCCACCTACAAAACAGGAAATGATTTGTCTAGGAAAGAGTATTGCAGAGGGGGACCTGGCTGTCATAATGAACCACAAATGAAATATGAGTCGACAGTGTAACACCCTTGCAAAAAAGGCAAATGTTCTGGGACATTTTGGCAGGTCTCAAGAAATCAGTCTTCTGCTCTACTCCATGCTGATAAAGCCTCAGCTGGAATAATGTGTCCAGTGCTGGGCACCGCACTTCAGGAAAAATATGAATGGGAGAAAATCCAAAGGAGAGCAACAAAAATGAAGAAAGATCTAGAAAATATGGCCTATGAGGGGAGATGGAAAGAATTTGGATTGTTTAGTCTGGAGCTGAGAAGATGAAGGGGCAGGGCATGAAAATAGACCTCAAATACAGAAAAAGAGAAGGGTGATCAATTGTTCTCTTTAACCACCGACAGCAGGCCAAGGAGCAGCGGGCTCAAATTGCAGCAATGGAGGTTTAGGTGGGTCATTAGGGAAAAACTTCCTCTTAAGATGGTTAAGCACTGGAATAAATTAACTCGGGAGGGTGTGGAACATTCTTCACTGGAGATGTGTAAGAGCAGGTTAGACAAACACCTGTCAAGAATGGTCTAGATAATACTTAGTCCTGCATCAGTCCAAGAAACTGGACTACCTAACATATTGAGGTCCCTTCCAGTCCTATATCCCTGTGCTTTCTAGTGGCCTAGGTGTGCATGTGGTAGAAGGAGTCTTCCTCCTTGAGTACTGAGTTCCAGTCTGTTTTCACTGATAAAAGGAAGAATTCACTTTTTCAAAGCCTAATCCTGCAAGGTACTGAGCATTCTTTGCTCCCACTGAAGTCTATGGGAACTGAGGATGGTCAAAACCTCCTGAGGAGTTCTTGAGTAGCCAAATAGTTGAACTCATGGTCTAAGGGCTTAGGCTGGTGGCAGAATTCTCCTTGAATTAGAAAGGGAACCCAAATACTATTGAGATTGAGAGTGCCTTCTCTAACACTGCAGAAGGCTGTATTGCCAGCCAATGTCCTTGACTTGATTTTGAAGCTGAGCAATTTCATCAAGCTGGGTAAGAACCATTCCTCTTCAGATGCATGAAAGACAGGAGTCCAACCTTCTCCCCAGGACAGGGAACTTAGCTCATTTAAGCATCATGACTGGTCACTGGGGCAGCTCCTGCTCTGACTCTGCCATCCTGAGTTGAGAAGAAGGAAGATTGTAGCTCTAGTCTCGAAGGCCTTTACTGAGATGCCCTTAACACCCTCACTGCAGTATGTGTCAAGATGGGATTGCTCTTCCAACCAACCTGCAGAGAGGAGCATTTCCCCATTATCTAAGTACCTATTTTATGAGCAGCCAAACTTATTAACACCATTGGATGTGACTGTGCCAGTAGAGAGGGGGCCTGAATAGTCTAGCATGAGGGCATAAATCAGGACCTTTAACGAGCATCTGCACATTTAAAGTTTTTCCTACATGGCTTTTGTTTTTCTTGCACACTTCTCGCTTTGACTGGTCTATAAATGGGTTTTTCTCCTCCCTGTCTTCAGCCAATAAGACCTCCCCAACATCTGGAGAGGGGAATCGCCCTGGTGGAATCATTCATGTGTATGGTGATGACAACAGTGACAAATCTGCCAGCAGTTTCATCCCCTACTGCTCCATGGCTCAGGCACAGCTCTGTTTTCATGGCCACCGTGATGCAGTCAAGTTCTTTGTCTCTGTTCCTGGTAAGGATGGCCAGGGTACCTCCTCATGAGGATTCTGGCATTTACATTCTTTTGATCTTCTTATGCCCTAAGACATCTGTAGGCTCTACCATTGCAGGGAGAGGTCTGAGCTGCCCTATTGTAGAAGGCGGTAGATGACACTGCATCTTCTGCAGCTCTTTATGAATTACCTACCTTTTTAAGGTCCTTTGGGTTTTTTGTGTCCGCATTAGAATAAAATCCAGATTCCCAACAGCTGGGACAGAATTGGCAGGGTGAGCACCCTCATGTGTGTCCTTTAGCTGAGCATTCTGGGAGCATGGTGGAGTTGCTTACAGGAGCACCTGTGCTCTTTCAGGTAATGTTCTTGCAACTCTGAATGGGAGTGTGTTGGACAGCCCCTCAGAGAACCCCAGCACAACAGCCCCTGAGACTGAGGGGCAGAAGCTGAAAAATGTCCTGGTGCTGAGTGGAGGAGAAGGGTACATCGATTTCCGGATTGGTGAGTTCCTACTGTTCCCCTTTGGGGAAGAGGTGAAGTGGAAAGTGTTGCAGGTAAAACGGGCCAATGGGATTAAAGAGAAAACTGTTGCTACATAGCAAGTTCAGTTTCCACTTGTCATGTCTCCTGGTATAGAGGAAGCCATTGGGCATTTTACTCTGTTAGCCACCCTTTTCCAGGAGATATGGTTGCCTAACCCCATCTGTCACAGTTGACTGTCTCTAACCCATGTTGTTATAAGGATGGGCTCCTGTAGGGGATGAGGGAGTGGACAGTGCATGTGATTAGGGATATTGGAAGGTTATGTTTTGTGTCTCTATGACTCTCTCTTAACCAGTCTTGCTATATATGTGTCCCATTGTTACAGCTTCCCATCTAGGCATGAAAGAAGACCACAGCTAATGCTGCCCAGGTTCCTTGTTAAGTCTTTTGTGAGGGGTAGTAATGCTTTGGATCTCCCTTTTCTCTCCTCTTTATTGTATGTATGCTATCTGCAGGGGATGGAGAAGATGATGAGACAGAGGAGAATGCAGAAGATACCCCCCAAGTAAAACCGGTGCTTTCCAAGGCGGAGAGGAGCCATATTATTGTGTGGCAAGTATCATATATCCCTGAGTGAGAATCTCTCCTTTCCAGCCAACATATCTCTCCCATCTCCCACCTGAATGCCAAGATGTACATACAGAACTCCTGCATTACACCTACTGCTGGAAATGGAACCCCAGACAATTGCAACAGCTCCTGCATTGGATGGTGACCCCCCCCTCCCATTCTAACCTCTGAACTTGCAGCTTTCATAATTGGGCCTGTGCACGTTGAGTGGTTGGATTACTATTCTCCTGCAGCTGGTATCTACAAAGGGGAAAAAAAGGCAGGGAATCTACAGGGTGAAGCCTAGAGTTAGGAATTGTCCAAACACCTCTTGCCAAGAAGTGAGAATCAAGCCTTTCTTGGAAGGGTTGGCCCAGGTTGTCAGGAAGGTTGCCTCATTCTCACCTGCATGAGAAACAATGCATTAACCTCGTATCTTCCAGGGAAACGAGGCTAATGACTCGTGACAGCCCAAAGAAAATCTTACATGTAGTTCACCAGATGGAAATCTCATCCCAGCCTGTCTGCACAGATTGTCCTCAAGCACCAAGTCTTATCTCAGGATCTGAGCACAGGCAGCACCAGGTTTAAACCATACCTCTGCAGAGAAGGGAACAAAGGTTTCAGGAACCACTTCAGCTATTTGGCCATAGAGGGCCCACCAGTCTCATGCTGGGGTAGAGTGCAGAACACATGCTATATATGGGAAATCTCCCTCCTCTGCTTCTAATTGTTGATCAGTTGGTAACATGAAGTAGTGCTCAGTGAGTGTGACATCACGGAGGACTTTTTGGTAGAATCAGAGGCAAAAAAGGTGTTTGATGTCACGACAGTGTGCGCTTGGACATGACAGTTTGCTGGGATATGGGTTGGTTAGCCGAAGGAAGAGCCAGCGCTACTTTGTCCACATGGTATTTTTGAAATGAGGGGTAAAAAATACTTGGTTTCATCATTTTTAAAAGCCTTAAAAAATTTCAAGAGACAAGCTGTTTAGTGATAGTTGGTTTTAAAGTGTATCTGGTGAAGGCAAGTTCAACATCCTTCCATGTTGATGTGATAAGGCTTCTGTGTTAACCTAGGGGTTTTAATGACTCATGAAGATGCATTCTCTTCCTAGTGCTGATTTTCTTCAGGGAGAATGCTCTGCTCTCAAAGCAGAACAGTGCTGGAGAAAAGAAAAGGCAGGATACTGATTTTTGTCATTCTTTCTCCCAGTACATAACAGTAACCCAGTGCAAATACAGGTTCAGGCTTGCATATCCCAAACTATGGCACCCAGACAGGAGGATGCTTTGCTATGGCAAGAATTGTGTTTCATGGCTGCTCCTGCAGTTAAATAAGTCTGTAAAAAGCTGGAGAGAGATTCCAGGAGCTTGTAGCTCCATGCAGTGTGCATATCTCAAGTTTTGTTACCTCACTCCTGCTACTGACCAACTGGTTAAAAGCCCTGATGCCACAGTTTGCCTCCTGACTCCTCACTGTTCTCAGTTCTTGGCCTTTTAAATCCTTGAGCATGTGTGTATTGCCTCACTTGCTGCATTTCTGGCTCAGTCAGTCTTTGTATTCTAGGATCCCAGAGGACCTAGTGTGTCCCTAAAAACAAGTAGCCCCGTGGCACCTTAGAAACCCACAAAAATATATAATATGAGCTTTCGTGGGCAAAACCCACTTCTTCAGATGAGATATCTTCAGACATAAGTGGGTTTTGCTCACGAAAACTCATTACTGTATATTTTCGTGAGTTTAAGGTTCCACAGGGCTATTTGTTGTTTTTAAAGATACAGGCTAACACAGCTACCCCGCTGACACTAGTGTATCCCTGTCAGTCTGCAGAACTTATCCCCCCTTTTACTGTAATATCTGAGTGCCTCACAATGTGTTTACCACCTGTTAGGGAGGGAAAGGTTTTGCAAGTAGGGACCTACAAAACAGAAAGATTAACTAGCCCAGGGTCACACAGGTCCTTGGCAGAGCAGGTTTCCTAGCTAGTGTCAGCTTCCCTGGTGGACACTGCAGGGCTATGTCTAGACTGGCATGATTTTACAGAAATACTTTTAACTGAAAAGTTTTTCCGTTAAAAGTATTTCCGCAAAAGCACGTCTAGATTGGCAAGGATGCTTTTGCGCAAAAGCATCCGTGCCGATCTAGATGCGCTTTTGTGCAAGAAAGCTCCAATGGCCATTTTAGCCATTGGGTTTTCTTGAGCAAAAAATGAAGGTGCCTGTCTACACTGGCCCTCTTGCGCAAGTATTCTTGCGCAAGAGGGCTTATCCCTGAGCGGGAGCGTCAAAGTATTTGCGCAAGAAGCACTGATTTTGTACATTACAAAGTCAGTGCTCTTGCGCAAATTCAAGCGGCCAGTTTAGACAGCTGGCAAGTTTTTGCGCAAAAGCAGCTGCTTTTGCGCAAAATCTTGCCAGTCTAGACGCACCCCCTGGTGTAAGCTAAAAAGGATCCTAGTTCCTGTTTGAGGAGGACTTGGATAGTGCAGGTACAACTGAGAGCAATACCAGCCATACATTAGAGCGCTGGAAAGGCAACAACAGTTTCCAGAGAACAGAGCCTAGTTCAGGGGGGACAGAGACATTGTAATACAACACTAATGATAGGCAAAGGCACTCGCACTGCTCTTTGCAGGCAGAGGTCAAATCAAATGCTTCAGTTGTGTACCTGTATACAGGGATCCCCAAGAGGCCAGTCTGACCATGTGACATTTATGAATGAGTTAGGCTTTCATTCTGCTATTGACATTTTTCCAGAAATGCTTTTTGATTGGATAAATCACTTAGGGTTTTAGACAGCATATAATTTGCAAATTTTGTTAATTTGTATCAGTTACATTTCACTATTTGAGATGATTTTAAAAAAATGTAATTGACATCAGTTTCCTGAAAACACCACAATTATGAAACATGACATGAGCGTTTTACCTGTTACAGAACATAAATGGTATCTGTTTTACCAAAGTGACAATACTTGGTCCTCTGTCTCCCACTGAAATTTCATGACTGCTTAAGAAAATAAGATATTCTCAGTGGTTCATTTGCAGTTTGAGGCAGATTTTCTTTTGAGAAAAGCACATTTTCAAAAAGAGGCCATTGACAGTCAAGTGAAGAGCCACTGCTCTAATGTTCTATCATCCTCATTCTGTGGCTACGGAGCAGCAAAGTGAAAGCTGATTGGCTTAAACACCCCCCATCATATTTCCACTGTGATGTATGTAAAGTACCTTGTATGTTATAAAAGGATTTTTAAAAAGTGTCTTATGGCCTGTAAACTCCGCTGTTTGGTCTGAAGATGGCATTCTGTAAAGAGACTGCTGTATGAATACTTTCCCACGCTTTGTCCCTTATGCTATCAAACAAATGAACCATATCTGTTCTGTATGTAATAAATGTGTTAACATCAGCAGTGGACAAGTGTATTCATTGTGCGTACAAATACTGGTATTTCTGATCATTGTCTGAGTCTGGGTACTTGATAAGTATGGAGAATAATAATAGAGATGTAGCTGTGTTAGTCTGAGGAAGTGGGTCTGGCCCACGAAAGCTCATCACCTAATAAACCATCTTGTTAGTCTTTAAAGTGCTGCATAGTCCTGTCTTTTGCTAAGTATGGGACACTTTCAGCCCACTTAATTAGCCTCATTAGCACAGGTCCTACAACTGACAGGTACTTTTCCCCCTCTGTTATACAATACCTGTTTTCTGATATTTCTACTCCAGTTCATCATTTGATAAAGTGGGTTTTGCTCATGAAAGGTCATGATACTATATACTTTTGTTAGTCTCCAAGGTGTCACAGGACTACTCATTTTTAAAGTTACAGACTAACACAGTTATCCCTCTGAGTCTTTTTTAAATTAATTACATCACATTCTTCTTTATTAGCCCCCTAAATGATTCTAGTGTCTTTACAAATTGTGGCAGCCTCTTCATTATAAGAATACTGCATGGGTCTCTAGAGCGGTGTTTCCCAATTTTATTTGGCCGAGGAACCCTTTTCAGAATTTCAAGGAACCCTTAGGTTTGTCAAGCAAAAAAAAGGGGGGGGAACCCCCCCACCTCCCTTCCATGAGGCCCCCCACCTCCCTTCCATGAGGCCTCATCCGCTCTGTTCCCCTCCTCTCCATCACTTGCTACCCCCAGCCCTTATACCTGTCTCAACCTAGTGAGAGTGAGGTGTGGGGTGGGAATGAGGGATTTCTGTGTGGGAAAGGGTGAGAAGTACAAGCTCTGGGAGGGAATTTGGATGCAGGAGAAGGGGCTGTTGGCTCAGGGAGGGGGCTCTAGGCTGGGAAGTGTTGGGCTCAGGTGGAAGGTTGGGGTGCTGAGCAAGCCATGGGCTTGTGGCTGTGAGGGTGCAGGAGTTTGAGCTGGATATGTGAGGGACTCAGGGCAAGAAGGTTGTGAGTATGATGGACTCAGGACACAGATTTGTGATGTGTGGATGGTGGACGAATGTTGTGGCAGAAGACTGAGGATGTGGGGATGCAGGAATTTGGGGATGTCAGAGGCTTAGGACAGGGGGTTCCAGTGTATATTTGGGGTCAGGTGGTGCAGGAGTGTTATGATGCTGCAGTGAAATGAGGGTTTGGTCCTAACTGGGGGCTTGTTGGCCTGGCTTCATTTTTAAATAAATTATGTCAAACTCAAAAGGTTTTAGCATTGTCTTTATATATGAGAGGGATAAGGAACCTGTTTTGAGTCAAAGGTCACTAACCCACTTAAAAGTCAGTTGGGGCCACACAAGTGAGATGCAAAAAAACCAACAAAAAAAAACGCTCCTCCAAAAAACCCCAAGCCTCACTAATGTGGTCCCAAATGTGCTGGTGGGGGTAGGGGACAGAGTGCTAGTGGGTGCTGGGGATGGGGAGAGGGTGTTGCTAGGTGGAAGGATGCTGGCTCAGGTGGCAGGGTGCTGGGGTAGGCAGGTAGCAGGGTGCTGTGATCAGGGACATGGTCCTGCTGGGCACTATGATGACTGGCAGGGTGCTGGGACAAGGAACAGGGTGCTGCTGGGTGCTAGAATGGATGGCAGGGTGCTGGGGCCAGGGCCAGGGTGGTGCTGAGTCCTGGGGTGTAAGGCAAGGTGCTGGGGCCAGGGTGGTGCTAGGGTGGATGGCAGGGCTGCCAAGGAGTGGGATAGGGATGGGGTGCAGGATCTGGGAAGGAGGTGGGAGGCGGAAGGGGTCAAGGTCTGAGTGGTAGGTAGGGTGCAGAAGCAGGCTGGATGTAGGGTGTTTGGCCAGGGGGAGAGAGCAGTAGCAGAGTGGGGGTAGGGTATCTGGCTACGAGGGAGGGTGCAAGGAGGGAACTTGGGTAGGAGTTGGACCTCCCTGATCTGGCACCCTCTGGACCTGACTGGTCCCAGATGAGGAATTTTTGGACCAGGGGAGGTCATTTCAGGGCTCCTGGTTCCCCTCCTTCCCCTAGGCTTCTTTGCACCTCTATCCCCTGCAACCCAACTGAGCTGCCCACCCCTGCTTGTTCCTTGCACCTCCCCCAAAACCATCCCCCACAATCCAAGGGAGTGCAGCTGAGCCACCAGTCTGTTCTGTATGCCCTCCCCCATCCACCTCAGCCCAGCTGAGCCCTGCATTGGTTCCCTGCATGCCTCCCCCACAGCACAGCTGAGCCCCGTTTCCCTGCACCTCCCCCCAAGCCCCGCAAAACTGCTGAGCCAAGAGCCCATTCCCTGCTCCTCCCTCCCCTTGAGTCTAGCCTCGGTTACCGGCGCCTCCTGCAGCCAAACTGAGCTCTGGGGAAATTCAAATCCTGGCTTCATTTGCAATGAGCCACCAGTCTGTTCTGTATGCCCTCCCCCATCCACCTCAGCCCAGCTGAGCCCTGCATTGGTTCCCTGCATGCCTCCCCCACAGCACAGCTGAGCCCCGTTTCCCTGCACCTCCCCCCAAGCCCCGCAAAACTGCTGAGCCAAGAGCCCATTCCCTGCTCCTCCCTCCCCTTGGCTGTGTCTACACTGGCACGATCTTGTGCCAAAGCGGCCGCTCTTGCGCAAAAATTTACTGCCTGTCTACACTGGCCGTGTGTTCTTGCGCAAGTACACTGACATTCTCATGTATGAAATCAGGGCTTCTTGCACAAGAACTACGATGCTCCTGCTCAGAAATAAGCCCTTTTGTGCAACTCTTCCGTGCAAGAGGCCAGTGTAGACAGGCAACATGAATTTCTTGTGCAAGAAAGCCCTATGGCTAAAATGGCCATCGGCACTTTCTTGGGCAAGAGAGCATCCACACTGCCATAGATGCTCTTGTGAAAAAGCACAGCTCGCACATGGCAGTGTGGATGTATTCTTGCACAAGAAACAGCCAGTGTAGACATAGTCTAAGAGTTTCCTCACATGAGCAAAATGAATTTTGTGTTGTGCACCAGTACTGAGTTTGTGGCTTGTTTGAATGTGCCACCCGAGTTAATAAATATTTTTAAACCTCTACCTTTTCCCTCTGCTTTCATGTTTCCTCCCCGTGCTCCATCAGTTCCTCTGGTTCCTGCTGCTCTCCCACTCCTCACCCTCTTATGGTAGTTCAAAGGGCTCTGTGTGGGGTAGTTCAAAGGCCCTCTGCTGTCCTGACTCCTCCCCTTCTCACTGTCCTCAGCCCTCCTGCAACCTGGCCCCCTCCACCAGCCCTTCTCTCCTCCCTGTGCCCACTCTTCCAGTAGCCCCACTCTGATCATGTGAGCTACCCCTCCTTATCCCCTCTCCTAACACCTCCCTCTACAAACCTGCCCTGTGTCTCTCCTCTGATGGCGGTCCCTCCCCTGCAGCCCCGAATCCCTTGGCATCTGCAACTTTTCTTACCCCTGCACCCTCCTGGTGCCTCCCCCTTTCCTCACTTCCCCTGCCCTCTTTGCCCCCTTTTCCCCTGATGCCCACCCCTCACCACCCTCTGCCCCCATTCCCCTCATCCCTCTGTGCCCTCACACATGACCTGCTCCATCCCGGCCTTCCTCATGGCCACCCCTTCTTTCAAGCCTTCTTGAAAGAAGGCCGGACGGGCCTTTGAGCAGCCGTGCACAGCTGCTATCTGCTAGGCCCATCCGGTGGGGGTGTGCATCCCGGAGGTCCTGAGGGAGAGTTTCTCTGAAGGACCTCAGTAACTGTCCCCAGGGCCTCTTCACTAGATACCTGTGCCTTGCCCCTCTCTGCCTTTCCCACAACAACCCTTCCCTTCCCCCCTGTAACCTCTGTTCCCTGCAGACAGAATAACAACAAGTGAACACCTCCCCAGCACCCAATGCCCTTACCCTCTCCCCTCCCAGCATCACCCTGTCCCCCTCCCACTGACACCTCTCCCCTCCTGCCCTTTTCCTCATTGTCTGCACTTGGCCCCCTGCCATTTGTCTCTCCTCCACCCCGGTCCCTTGGTGCCTTCCTCTTCCCCCTCTCCCCTCCCCCTCTGCACAAGCACCTTCCTGTCCCAGCCCTTCCCTTTTCCCTCTTTCCCTCTGCACAAGCCCCTTCCCTCCCTCTCCCGTACCTTCTGCCTTCCACTTTGCGGGGCCGAAGTCTGTGCTCTGTCCCCGGACTCCGAACCCGCAACTCAGCCATGCGGCGCACCACAGTGCCCAACAGGTTTCAAATCCCGGGCCGTGACGTTACGTCACATCCAGGTATCTCCCCACCCACTGGTTTGAGCACGCTGTGCAGGGCAGCAGCAGCCAGCAAGAGGGGGCTCAGGGAAGGTTGCGCACGGCAGGGACGGGAGAGAGATGCTCTGGGGCCAGGGTGGGAGGACGCGCAGAGGGGTTGGGACCCGCTCCAGCTCCAAATGTTGCTGGAGCATGGACACCATGAGCCCACATAACTCGCCGCCCATGCCTCTGCTGGCTAGCCGGCTCGCTCTCTCTTTTTCAGAGGGGACAGGGGAGTGCCGGCTCCTCGGGGAACCCCTAGTTTTGCTCCACGGAACCCCAGGGTTCTGCAGAGCACCAATTGGGAAACACTGCTCTAGAGCAACAATGGGCAAACTAGGCTAAGTGAGCTGCAGGAGTGGGCCACAAGCTGGAACCATGACACTCTCTTGGGATAGGGTAGTTTTGCTAACAATGTTTGCATACCTAGAATTTGCAGCGTTGTGACTGGATGCATAGAGAGCATATGGTTGTCCATCAATGTTGTGTATAATCAACATGCCCCTCGTGTCACATGTCCTTGCGTTGTGTGTGCTACTTCAGTAATACTGGTGGTAAAAAAAAAAAAGGAACATTAGTGAAATCTGGCAACCTTGCACATGAACAATGAAACAAAATGTCTTGTGGGCCACACACAGAATCCTGATGGGCCACAGATTGCCCACCACTACTCTAGCGTGTTAAAGCAAAATACCAATGGGCTGCACATGTCAGTGTGGGGGCTGGTTGGGGACCATGGCATAATGGTCATGGCTACGACCCTTGAGTGCCACCGGGGTTGTGGACCAGGCCCACACAGAGCCCTTTGAACTACCATACGTCTGGCCTCTTCCTCTTATGCTGCTCCCTCTGCTGTCAGCACCAGGCTTTCCCCTGCTGGGGAAATGCAAATGACATACTAGGGGGCTGCACCCTCTCCCCCACTTGCTATGCTTGTCAACCCCCCCTTTGGGGGGGGGGGTAGGCAGCCTCGGCTCTCCTCCTGGCCACCAGGGAGCCATGCTAGCCTAGGCCCCTTCTCCACCTGCTAGCTGGGGCCCTTTCTTCCTCCCTGCCCCTGGCCTCATCCTTACCCCTCCCCACTCCCAGCCAAGGCTGCACCAGACCTGGCTCTGCCTCTGGTGGCCAGGGAAGGCTGGGTTGTGGTATACCAGGCCCAGCACTCCATGTGGCCACTGGAGAGGACCAGACTGGGTGGGGCTTGGGACAGGGCCTGGGGTGGCACTAGGGGCAGGACATCACCCACTCATACCTACCCCCAAGCCTGTGAATGCTGTGATGTCACTTTGTTGTCCCACAGAAATTTTAATATATATATATATAGAGAGAGAGAGAGGAGGGGGATTCCGAAGTCCACAGGATCCTCCTGCTCAATGCTACATTTGGCATGCAGAGGGCTGCAAAGACAAGTGCTAGCATGTTGGGGGGAGGAGGAGGAGGAGCGATGGCCTTCTTGCGGTTTAGCCAGCTCACCAGACAGTGCGGGCTCGTCTACATTGGCCCCTTTTCCGGAAGGGGCATGGTAATTTTTGAAATCGCAATAGGGAAATCCGCGGGGGATTTAAATATTCCCCACGGCATTTAAATAAAAATGTCCGCCGCTTTTTTCCGACTTTTAGAAAAGCCGGAAAAGAGCGTCTACACTGGCCCCGATCCTCCGGAAAAAGCGCCCTTTGAAGTAGGAATAAGATCCTCCGGAAAAGGGCGCTTTTTCCGGAGGATCGGGGCCAGTGTAGATGCTCTTTTCCGGCTTTTCTAAAAGCTGGAAAAAAGCGGCGGACATTTTTATTTAAATGCCGCGGGGAATATTTCAATCCCCCACGCATTTCCCTATTGCGATTTCAAAAATTACCATGCCCCTTCCGGAAAAGGGGCCAATGTAGACGTAGCCTGAGTGATGAGCACGAGTGGGTTTGCCAGGCCTTCCTCTTCTATGACAGAGTAGGCCCAGTCTTATGAAAACAGTTTGCAGTTCAGAGGACAGTTTCTCTGCCTTTAATTCCCTAAGATGTGCCCTGTCCCAAATGAATAGGACCAGTTCTGTACAGGAAAATATAAGACAGTATATGAAGCTTTAAGACTGAGTTAAATGTAACAATAACTATTCCCCGCACAGCCCCATTTGATATGCTTAATCCCCCCATCACCCAGAACATGCTCCCTAGCCCACGATAGTCTCTGAGTCCTGCACCACTTTGTCCCTGTAGTGAAATAACTCTGAAAAGGGGTAGAATAGTTCTAACATTTATTACAAAAAAGCCAACCATTATAAAAGACAGTGACATAGTTATAGTTGTAAACAACACGTGCTGCAGGTGAAAGGGCTGGAGCACAGTGTTAAAGTAGCATGCTGTAACCTAGAAGCACAGCAGCATAGAGTTCAGGGGCTGTGGACAGGATCTTTGTTCACCAGGTAGTACTTCCAAACAGCTTTGTTTATCTTAAAATGGTCACTGGTAATGTGCCCTCATACACTCCTTTGCACTGGCATTGCAGCCAATATGCCAGCTAGAGACACTGGTTGAGTTTATTGCCTCCATTCACATGTTGTGTGATGCAGTCCCAACAGCCATGGCAGACTACACAGGTTTTTATTAATTGAGACAAACACGTTAAGCAACAGTGCACATCCCATCAGTATCCACCTAGCCCCCACATGTATCTTTTTATAACAAGCTTCTGGGCACCTGATCACATTCTAAGCTAGGGCAGCAGCCATATGCAATAGGCACTACTGAAGAGCAAATGTGGGATCACATGACCCTACATTGTGTCAGCCTGATCTCTAATAGCAAACGGCCTAAAACTTGGAGCACACGATTTAACATCTCTTCCATAAAATGTTATAGTAATTATGATACGTGGCTAGGTAGTTCCTTTGTATTGGTTTGATTGTCCCTGTTTCTTGTTATGAGACAGGGAGAACAGACGTTTCCACTTTGCTTGCTGCCATGCTCCACGTCACCTTGTTTTGGTTCCTTTCAGAGACAGGATTCTAGAGTAGAGGGAGAAGTGGTTGATTCAGTCTGCTGGAATGCTCCTTGGCTGTATAAATGGGACTAGTTACTAAGAAGGTAATATTAATCTTTGTATGTGGCATTAAGCAAGATCACTACTGGAATACTGAGTCTAGTTCTGCTGTCCACAACTCACAATGGAAAATTGGAAAGGGGTTGAAAGAATGTAATGAGAGATTTGAGGGCTTGAAAAACCTGTCTTACAATGGAAGACTGACAAAGCACTATTTTCACTTGTGAAGAGATGACTTGATCATCACCACTAAGTACCTGCCCAGCTAGTAGAGCACTCATCTCACTGACATACCACAGTCTGACTGTGCACAAGGTGCACATTTTTAAGAGCAACAGTAATTAGCCATTGGAACAACGGTCTTTAAATCAAGACTGGATATGGTCCAACCAGAAATTATGTACCTGATGCCAGATTCTCTGGCCCATTTTATGCAAGAGGTCAGACAAGATTGTCAGGTGGGTTCCTTCTAATCAAAATCTTCAAACTGCTCAACTTCCACTCTCTTTCTTCTTGTGTTGCCCTAGCAATAGTTCTCCAATCACCAGTCACTTCCATACGCGACAGGATCTAAAATTCTCTTGTAACTTTCAGGCCTTTTCTATGTATTATAAAGATGCCAAAAGACACAAACCCATTGTCTCTTTCCTTTACAGGTCACCTTGAACTCCTTGGATTTCAGGATGCTGCAGAGCAGTGACAGAATCAGACCAAGAGCTACTAACCCAGAGAGCTGCAATTTAGCTACTGATAGCTGCTGTTCTCTGTGCAAAATCGAATTCCCACTATTACTCCTCCACTTATCCTTAAACAGAAATACCCAGTGAAAAAAAACTACACCCCAACAGAAGTCCAGTATGGCTCCAGAGAAGAAAAAATGGAAATGGGTGGATTTGTACTGTGCCTGAATGTCAGCAGGATACCCTTCCTCCAGACCACTCTTATTACTCATAGATCCAGTGCTCAGTGCTGTCCACCCAGCAGGTCAGCTCATCTGCGTGGAACCAGAGTAAAATCTCCCGCCGGGCACTCTCGATGGAATCACTGCCATGAATCACATTCCTGTGGGGAAGGAAAACAGGTACTCTCCAAGTCATATACAATGGAGAACTGGAGAATTAGAGCCGGAGGTAATTTTACCTTGGCTAGAATAATAAAGTTTGCTGAACGAGTGCCATCTTGTTGCATTCGTCCCTGAATGATCCTTATGTTCCTTAAAATTCCTCAGAGCCACCCATTTTCTGGTTGAGGGCAGGACATGGTCTGTTATTCTGTGGCAGTTCCCACCAGTCTCCTCCTCCTAGATCACGGTCACCAAAGCAACAACTGTGCAGTAACAGCTGCTGCTCTGGCTTCATGAAGGGCTGAGTGCCTTTTTCACATGTAGTGCTACTTGTTTTTACATTAGAAATTCAAGTCTTCTTGTCCCTTTTTTGTGGCTCCTGGAAGACACTATGAAGAACTGAAGCATTAGTAAGTCTGACATCAGATGCCAAAGAAATGAAACCTAACTAAGGAAGGACATGAGCTTCATTTAAGCCATGGCTATGCTAAAAATTAGCCCTGATTGCAGCCAATTGGTGTAGCTTCATTGATGCAAACCCCTAGTGGAGCCAGGGCCTTAGGCTGTTCAGGACTTTTGCTTGTCTTTTAATACCTAACTCACTCACATGCCTGACTAAGGGCTAGGAGAACAGTTCATCAATTAGATTGGCCACTGCCATCCCTTCAGTTAACCACAGAATCATGGAAGATTAGGATTGGAACAAAGCTCAGGAGGTCAACAAGTCCCACCCCTGTTCAAAGCAGGACCAACCCCAACTAAATCATCTCAGCCAGGGCTTTGTCAAGTCTGGCCTTAAAAACCTCTAGGCCTATAACGGTTTAAAAGAGAACTAGATAAATTCATGGAGGTTAAGTCCATTAATGACTATTAGCCAGTATGGGTAAGGAAAGGTGTCCCTAGCCTCTGTCTGTCAGAGGGTGGAGATGGACGGCAGGAGATTGCTTGATCATTACCTGTTCGATTCACTCCCTCTGGGGCACCTGGCATAGGTCACTGTTGGCAGACAGGGTACTGGGCTGGATGGACCTTTGGTCTGACCCAGTACGGCCGTTCTTATGTTCTCCCAAGGCAACTCATTCCAGCACTTCACCACCTTCCTAGTGAAATAGTTTTTCCCAATATCCAACTTAGATATCCCCTACTGCAACATGAGCCCATTGATTCTTGTTCTGTCATCTGTCACCACTGAGAACAGCCTCTCGCCATCCTTTTTGGAACCCCCTTCTAGTAGCTGAAGGCTGCTATAAAATCCCCCCTCGTTTTTCTCTTCTGCAGACTAAATAAGAACAGTTTCCTCAGCTTCTCCTCCTAAGTCATGCACTCCAGCCCCCTAATGATTTTCTTTGCTCTCTGCTGCACTCTTACCAGTTTGTCCACATCCTTTCTGTAATGGAAGTCCCCAAACTTGATGCAGTAGATGTGGCCTCACCAGTGCCAAATAGAGGGGAATAATCACTTCCCCCAATCTGCTGGCAAATGCTCCTTACAGCCTTCTTGGCTACAAGGACACATTATTGACTCATATCCAGCTTCTTGTCCACTGTAATCCCCAGGTCCTTTTCTGCAGAACTACTGCTTGGCCAATTGGTTCCCCCAGCCTGTAGCAGAGCTTGGGATTCTTCTGTCCTAAGTGCAAGACTCTGCACTTGTCCTTTTTGAATTTCAGCAGATTTGGCCCAATCCTCCAATTTATCTATGTCACTCTGGACCTTACCCTTACCCTCCAACATATCTACCTCTCCCTCATCTTAGTGTCATCTGTGAACTTGCTCAGGGGTGCAATCCAACCCATCAACCAGATCATGAATAGCTTGGAGTGCTCTCAGCGATGGCCCTGGGGGCTTCAAGAAGCTATGGCTTGACATTACTTATAGTTCTATGGTAAAACCCAAGCAGAACATTTTTGTTTTAATAGAAAAAAGGATAAAAACTTACACACTCTCCCATGGCTCATCCTAAGGCCAAAGAGGCAGTTTAGCATAATGCTCTTCATGACCAAATGTACTACTCAAACCATTATGCCACAGGAGAGGGACATGGTTTGAGCATAGGACTGAGAGCCAGACACTCCCAACATGTAACCCTGGCTCTGATATAGATTGCCTCTGTAGCCTTGGGCAGGTTCATGCACTCTCCCTTGCAATCAGTGTCCCCAAGTGTAAAAGAATTATTCTTCTCTCCCTCAATCAGGTGCTGTGAGGATCAGTTGAGTATCAGTGCAGCATACTGAAGAGGAAAATTGCTCTAGCAGTATGATGAGGCAAATCCCTGTCTCAATCAAGAAAAGGTTAAAGAGTGAGGCTTTTAAAGCCTGGAATGGAGAAGGATCCCAGATGAGTTTGGGGGGCACTGAGAAAGGAGGCCTGGAGACTGAGAACTCCGCAGGCTAAGGAAGCAGGAGTTGCTGGCTATGCCCTCTTCTTTTTTTTCTTTTGGCTTTGGAAGACTCTAGACTCTGCTATTTGCAAGATGCAGCATCATCCTGACTTTTTTATCTGGGCTACTTTATGTGGTCTCCAAACCACCCCACTCCTAAGCAGCACAGACAGAGGACTGAACTCTGGCATGACACCATAGCAATGTTGTGGTCTTGGGAGGGACCGCTGAGATGAGTGGTGCTTACCCTCTCCTCAAGGGGGCATCAAAAAGTTACAGTTACAACATGGTGCTATTACTTTTGGTCCGAGACAAGGAGATCAAAGGTTTAACTCCAAACTGACCATACCATTAGTATAAAAATCCCTAAAATGCAGCATAAATGTGGCTATTTTACACAAGGTGGAGAACCCCACCCTGTACACACCATCTGGGCTTTGTTCTCTTGCTGCATAGATTGGGAGCCAGGCAAAGTAAGGTGTGCTAATCACTCACAAATGACCCTTTGAAATCAGCTCCAAGCTCCCTTACTGTCAAAGACATTCCCCCATCCCCCGCTTAGTCAGTGGGAGAGTAACTGTGACATGGAGCAGAACACCGTGGGGGGCTCCTCCCCACTAAAACGGGGACACAAAGGACTCCCTAGCAAAAACAAACCCGAGTTTCTCACTTGCTGATATCAATGCAGAAGTCCCCTCGGATAGTGCCAGGTCTGGAATCAGCTGGGTTAGTTTCACCAATCATTGCGCGAGCTGTCTTTACCACATCCAGGCCCTGCCAGACCTACAAGACAGCACAGCAAAAGTCAGCTTCCATAGCCTGCTGAAGAGTAGGGGCCAAAACCTGCCCTAAGCACGCTCTAGCTAACTCCATCACCTTCTCTAAGTACATTTGGAGGCAAGTAAAGGCAGAATCTGCCTTAAGAAAGCCTCAGATTATCTGTTTGACTAAAATAAAGATATGCACAGGTTTCACTTTTGCATGCAACAAGTAACCTTTCAAACAGAGGATTTGGTAAAAGAGTATGAAGGAAAGATGGAATGGCCTCGGGTTCAATTTTTATGCCCTTGCATTTGATATCTGTTTCAAGACACAAAAGGGCCCGAGGCCAATACTCACCATGGCTACAATAGGACCCGATCTCATGTACTTCATCAGGTGGCTGTAGAAGGGGCGATCGTGGAGGGCTATATAATGCTCCTTCAGCAAGTCTTCGGAGGCCTGGGTACAAACACAGCATGTGGTCTAGTTTACTTTTATAGGCTGCTGCTGTCCTAAAATGACTTATAATGGCTGTTCTGGTGGCCAGAAGAGCCCACTTTAGAATTTAGGGATCCTCCGGCTCTGAGGGCTGGCTTCCTGAATACTCCAGTGTAGCTCGGAGGAGGAAATCAAGCTCATGAGGAACAAACTGCCAGGTGAGACAGGATTTTAAGAAGAGCTCAACTCCCATTGACTGTCAATGAGATTTAGGGGCCTAAGTCACTTCTGAAAATGGGACTAAAGTGCTTTGGAAAACTTGACCTTGAGTGCTGGTGGCCAGAAAAAGATCCAAATTAAATCCCTCTCCAGCTGTGCTGCCTACCTGCATGGAGACAAAACATGGGAACTTTCCTTTTGTTTCCTGTCTCCATCTAGTAATAGTAGGATTTAACACTATTTGGAGCTGCCATAGGAGGGATGCTGGAGAAATGGTCTCAGCCAGACTATACAGCAGCTCTGATACCAGGTGTTTCTGAGCTTTGTTAATCATGGCCAAGTGGATAGCAGGGATGTGAAGCATTAGTTGACTATCCAATAAGAAAAGGCTAATCGGATAGTTGACAGGATAGTCAACTTGTCGCTTCCTCTGCCTTGCTGCCTCTTTCAGGAAGAGGCAGCGGGGGAGGGAGGAGGTATTTCAAGGTGGCAGCACCACTTGAAGCCTGGGGCCAGACCCCAGGCTCCATGCGGCACTGCCACTTTGAAATGCCGCATGCAGCCTGGGGCTAGCTGAGGTGGCCCCAGACTGAACGTGGAGCCCAGGATCCACGTTCCCCAGACTCCCAGCGGCACTGCCACTTTGAAATTCTGCACGGAACCTGGCATCAGGCTCCTTGCGGTGTTTCAAAGACGCTGCGCCACATGAAGTCCCCAGAAGAAACTGGGCTCCATGCAGCACTTTTGCCTTTAACGTGTGGCAACAACCCTATGGTCGATGCAAAATGCGCTGACTATTCGATTAGTCAGTTAATCGATACTTAGTGGACAGAGCACTGGACTGGGAACTTGTGAGGCAGGAATACTTAATCCTACTTCAGAGCAGGGGGCTAAACTAGATGACCCCTTGATGTCTCTTCCAGACCCAAATTTCTATGCTTCTATGGATTCTATTGCCAACATCGCCCCTGACTGGGTGACTTTAGGCAAGCAATGTCCCCGCTCTATACTTCAGTTTTCTCATATGTAAAATGGGGATCATGAAAGTGACCTGTGTAAAGTGCTTTCAGATTTATTGATAAAAAGTACTACATAAAAGCTATGCATTACTTACAAAGCACCATTAGCAAGCAGGGTGCAAACAGGTCCTTGTTCCAAAGGTTTAAAGCCACAAGACAGAGCATACACAATGCAGCCTGGACTGGACTTTTAGAGACAAGAGTGCCAGGACAATCCTTGCTCTGCCAGCTCCTCTCACCTGCATAAGCTTCATCCCCACCAGTTTGAAGCCCTTCTTTTCAAAGCGCCTGATGATCTCCCCTATGAGATGCCGCTGTACCCCATCTGGCTTGATGGCTAGGAAGGTGAGCTCATTTACTCCTGTGTAAGCTGAAAGCAGATGAAGAGAAGGAAGAACACTTAGGTCTAGAGACAATCTCAGCATGCATTCAAGATCAGAAGGGTCACTACAACCAGGATCAAGGAACTAAAAAATAAAATCAGGGCCTGGGGAGCTGCGTGAAGCTTCCTTCGCCCTGCCCCCGCCCCGTGTGACCTCCTCGTAGGGCAGAGGAAACTTCCCGCAGCTCTCCCGCCTCCAGGTTAATCAGGGCTTGGGGGCGGGGGAGTGCGTGATGTCTTCTCCAGCCCTTGGAGGAGCACATAGCACTTTGAAGTGCCGCATGCTCCTCCCAGGGCAGGAGAAAGTTTTGTGTGCTCCCCTGCCCCCAGGAACTAATTGGCCTGGGGGCAGGGGAGCGGAAGGGCCTGCACAGGCCAAATCAACTCACTTGGTGGGCTGGATCCAGCCCTTGGAGGCGCTTTTGCCCACCTCTGTACTAGATGGGGGGGGGGGGGGGGGCGAGACCCTGTAAAGGGTCTGCCCAGTAGGGAGGGAAGTTATAGAATCACAGAAGATTAGGGGTGGAAGAGACCTCAAGGTGGTCATCTAGTCCAACGCCCTGCTCAAAGCAGGACCATAGAATACACTGGCTAGGCTTTGAGACTTCCGCAAAAGGAGGGCTGAAGCTTTGAGTGGCTAAGAAGATCATTAAGTTTGGCCATCCTAGCATAGATCATAGAGGTGGTATGTGTTCAAAGTTGGAGCTAAGAGTCAAGAAGGCCAGATTTCATTTCTAGCCTTCTAGTGGATGGCTGTGGGACCTTGGGAGAATTCTCTGTACCTCAATTTTCCCACCTGTAAAATAAACACCTTATGCAGCCTTTTTGTTCCCTCCCCAAGCCCAATTACATGCCTTAGTCAGAATGACCCAAATGCAGTGATAATTTACTGCCATGGAGAAGGGTTGGGTACCACTCTGCTCTCAGTAGTGCAGGGGTGGGAAATAATTTCACAGGGGAACCCACTTTATGAATTTTGGTACTTGGTTACAGGCTAGCTCTGGGGCCCCAAAAGAGCCTTGTGCAGGAGGGATGTGGATGCGGGCTAGAGAGACACAGTGGCTGTGTCTACATTGGCAAGATTTTGCGCAAAAGCAGCTACTTTTGCGCAAAAACTTGCTGCCTGTCTACACTGGAGGGAAGTTCTTGTGCAAGAACACTGACGTTCTAATGCGAGAAATCGGTGCCTCTTGCACATGCACTATGACGCTCCCGCTCAGGATAAGCCCTTTTGCACAACTGTTCTTGCGCAAGAGGCCAGTGTAGACAGGCAACAGGAATTTCTTGCAAGAAAGCCCAATGGCTAAAAGGGCCCCTGGAGCTTCTTGCGCAAGAGCGTCCACACTGGCACGGTGCTCTGGCGCAAAGGCACCTGCCAGTGCAGACCCTCCCGCGCAAATACACTGACGCAAAAACTCTTGCGTTCAAAGCATTTGTGCAAGATCCTGCCCACGTAGCCGCAGCCTGCGCGAGCGGGACAGACCCTGGGGTAGGAGCCACGGGGCGCAGGCCGGCTGTGGCGGGGCGCGGAGCCCTGCGCTCCGTGCGCGGCTCAAGGACGCGCCAAGGGGCAGCGCCTGCTCTGCCGCGCTCCTGAGGCGTTTCCCGCCCTGCGC